GTTATGACAGCTATGACAAAAACTGACCTAGATCGCGAGAGAAAAGGACAGCTGCTGTCCTCACAGCTGCCCCGCCTCACTTCCTGCTAACAGACCCCGCTTCTGTTTGGCCATCAGCTTGCCATGTGCTTTCAGGCAGGCTGGGCCCATCCCCATTCCCTACATCAGCAGCATCAGCTTCAACCAGGAACTTGTGAAAAACACAAATTGTCAGTCCCCAATCCAACCTAGAGCAGAAACTCTTCAGGTAGGGCCTGGCAATCTGTGTTTTGATAAGTTCTCCAAGTCATTCTGATGCAGACCAGTTTGAAAACCACTGACCAAGAACCACTGAACTAAGAATGGCAACTCTGTATCTGTAAGTTTACAAATGGGGTATACAACAATTCTAGCCAAGGAGGTGCAACTTCTAGAAATTCTGCTTACTCTTAAAAATGAAGACAAAGAAGGGACCTTCTCTCTTCTGGCCTTTAGAATGTTGTTGGTTAGAGATTTGATGCTTAGACCCTCTGTAGCTATCTCATGACCCCAAGGGCAAGCCAAAAGCAGATCCACCATGCTGGGTCCTTGATGGAATCAAGCCGATAAAATAACCAACCAAGAACCTGCACTACCTATAGGAGCTCCTGATATGTGAGATACTATCACGCTTCATCAAATGCAAGGCTTGTCAGCGGTTAAGATGCATCATTATTTTGTTAATCATAGTGAGGAAAAAAATGTTGTCAAATTGAGGCACCATGGTTTTAAACGGACCACGTGTCTCAATTTCAGAAATAATCACATATGAATAAAATGTACATCTCAGAAACAAACAGAAAAAAAGTAAATTCCTTATTGTTTCAGCCAGATGAGTAGGGGGTTTCTGTTGTTTGCTGCTAAAAACATCACAATTTATTTTTTTAAAAGGATATTATGTTTAGAAGGAGGCATCATAACTGTCCTCCACTATCTGAGGGGCTCCAATACTGAAAAAGTAGACTTTGTGTAGCTCCAGATAAAGTGAGGAAAGGCTGACTAACCTCTGAATGAAATCTACCAATGTAAAGATGCCTTAAAAAATGGTTCACAGGCCAGGTGAGGTGACTCATGCCTGTAATCCCAGCACTTTGGGAGGCCGAGGTGGATGGATCACGAGGTCAGGAGATCAAGACCATCCTGGCTAACACAGTAAACCCTATCTCTACTAAAAAATACAAAAAAAATAGCCCGGCGCGGTGGCGGGCGCCTGTAGTCCCAGCTAATCAGGAGGCTGAGGCAGGAGAATGGCATCAACCTGGGAGGCGGAGCTTGCAGTGAGCCGAGATCGCGCCACTGCACTCCAGCCTGGGTGACAGAGCAAGACTCCCTCTCAAAAAAAAAAAAAAAAAAAAAAAAAAATTAGCTGGGCGTGGTGGCACGTGCTGCCTGGTGGCACATGCTGCCTGTAGTCCCAGCTACTCAGGAGGCTGAGGCAGGAGAATCCCTTGAACCCGGAGGTGCAGTTTGCAGTGAGCCGAGATCGCACCACTGCACTCCAACCTGGGCAACAGAACAAGACTCCATCTCAAAAAAAAAAAAAAAAAAAAAAGTTCACACATTCAGAAACAGAATAACTACTTCAAAAATCAAGGGTGTGGCTCCTGTACTGGCTGCGAAGATGGCCCCTTTTAACTTTAAGATTTTTAAGATTCCATAATATTATAACCAGATTAGAATATAGCAAAGTTAAGAGGACTTGTTAAAACATCCAGTCAAATCAAAACTGCCAACAGGAACTGATCTAGGCAGAGTACCTGGTAGAAATTAAATTCAAGAAGTCAAAGATATAAGATGGAATTCAAGGAACCATCACAAACGCTTCTGAGCATCTCCCTCCCTCCAATCTAACTCCTCTCACTGGGGTCTAGAGTCATCTTGCCAGCACCAGTACCTACCTTGGTAACTCTTCTACTCCTTAAAGTGCCCACTCCGTGTCCATATCACAAAACTATCCAAACCCTCCCTTCATTCCTCTCCTCTCCTCACCCAAACCAGCCTAATTCCTGTCTAGTGCCTTTGCTCATGATGTCCCTAAAAACCTAGATTGTCTTTAACTCTTTTCACTCACCCGTAATTTGCATCTCACAAACTACAACTGAACTACAACTAAACTCAGTTCATGCTAACAATGACCATAATGCACACATTATCCCCATGCTGGAGCGCACTCACTCAGCAGAGCACGATTTAGTGCCTGGCTGTTCTTTCTTTCAGATGTTTTCATCTTTCTCATATACTGTAAACACTTTCAGTAGCTCCTATAGTTCTTTACTATGTTGTGAGCATTTTAAGTCCTTAGTAAATCTTACTGATTAGTCAGTCAATCACTTTGGAAGCTATCACAGAAACTTTCTCACTATTGGTACTTTAATATTTAATATACTTGTAAAATTATAAAATATTTACTAAAGTATATCATCAGGTGCCTGCAACTCAAAATTCTGGTTGGCTTCATTGAAAAAGATGGAAATGAAAGAATAAAGGTTAGTTTGCCTTTCTAAAGATAAATGTTACTTACTTACCCAGGTTGTAGTAAATACAAGGAACTGAGCAAAATGAAAAAGAAAAAGAAAACAAGAGAAAGGCCCACCAAAGGACCTATTCTCATCTTATCCCACTTCACAGAGTTCTCTATCTAGAAAGCAATCTGACTTCATCATATTTTATATGTAAAAAAAAGTGACCCAGAAAAATAAAGTGATATGCCCAAGATAAAAAGTTCTTTCTTATTTGCTCACACAGAGACCCACCTAATTGTAAAAGGAAGCCAAACATTTTAAAAAGAATGAACAAAGAAACTATAATCCAAGAGTTAAAGGGTAGAGAAAGCTGGGAAAGTTGAGGAGAAGTGGCTGCTGCCCATGGGCTGTGTTAAATGAAACGAGAACTGATCTGCTCACCACAGAGTAAACCCAGGAAAAGCCGCCCTCTCCCCCTTGGCCCTGAAGAGCTACACTCTAGCCTCCCAAACTCACTCCAGCTTTAGGCCTTAATTTTCCAAACGGTGATATCAGATTCACCAAGGTCACAACCTAAAGTAGAGTAATCGCGATCAATTGTGGAAGGGAAAACAAAATAAACAGAAAACCCTCAATGTTTTATTATAATCAAGTACCAGGTAGTTTTGTTTCAAATTTCATTTAAAAGCAGCTAAACTGCAAAGTGAAAATTTCAATAATTTGGCAGGTAAAAATTACAAAACGTATTTCCTTCTCCGCAAATTACGAAGAAGAAACTTCACTATTTATTTTGACTATTTAAAATTATATTAGAAGTCCAACTTGTGCCTTTCTAAAAATTTTAAAACATTCTTACAAAAGGCCTATTGGTTAATCCAGTAAGGTACCGAACCTTCAGGTTTTAAGACGGTCTGTCAGGATGACACTTGCGAGCCAGAAAAAGAATTTTGTAAGACGCCAAAGTGTTTCAATTTAATCCATTACCACTAACAGTGATGTCACCTCCAATATTCATATCCCAGCAGAGCTACAAGGTACGAGTGTTTTAGGACTTCACAGAAATTCCTGCAAATTCATCACTTACCTTATTCTCAGTCTAGCTAATCGTTTTGGACCATGATAGTGCAAAAATGTCACTTACAGAAAAAGAAAACAGCTCTTCTTTAAAGAGAAACAGGTTATTTTATCTAACTGGTTCCGCTTGTACAGGAAAACAAGGAAACTAGAACCCTTATAAAATAATACCACACTAAACCTAAACTTATTTTTGAATAAAATCAGTGCCATTTAAAATGATCACAAAATCAACAACTTTAATAATAGAAAAATTGTTAGAAAATATTAAACCACGCTCTGAGAGGGCCAGTCATAATAATCACCATTCTTTTAAACATGAGCAAATTTTAAACATATAGTTTTGTATAAAGTATAAGCATTGCATAGCTTGTATTACCCAGAAGAATGTATTAGCAAGTATATTTCTATTTGCATTGAGTTCTAACAAATGACTACTGTTGCAGGGAAAATGTGACTGGCACATCAGAGACTTTATCTCTTGTCACCATTATCATTTTCCGTCCTCACCTAGGACTAAAAAGCTCACAAAATGCACCCAAATCTGCATATACCATGTCTTTCCTTGGTCACATCTGTAACCATTTCCCTGCATCTGCTGGATATAGGAAACTATGACAAAATGAAGTCCTATAATAAAATCTAAGCGCAAAAATTTAAACTAATAGTAACAAAATATGCACTGAATGTGGTAGAGGCACTCAGGAGGAATAGAATGCATCTCTTTGTTGTTTACGTGGTCTGCTATCCCAGACCACATTTTTACCGTACCGACTTTGTGCTAGGCACTGCTTGAGCACATAAACTCATTTATTCTTCCTCTCAGGTAAATGTATCAATGTTATCACATTTTACAGTTGAGGAACTGAGGCAAAGAGAGTAGAGAAGCTTGTCCTACCTAGGTCACAGGGCTAAATGAAGGGTTGGAACTTTACTTTGTTCTAAATCTTCTCTGTGGTCCCTGCCCCAGCCCTCATGGGAAAATACGCGCAGGCCAAAAGTAGAGAGACATCACAAAGACAACCATCCCTCAAACCCAGCTACGTAGCTAACTTCCAGACACGGGCTTCCAAATAGTAATGTAAGCATGTTTTGTGGGGCCACTCTCATGCTGATTTCAAGCGTACAATCCCCCTGCCTACAGTGGGGAAGATAAACAGGGCCAGGCCAGCACTCCTCCCACCCACTTCCCTTCTGGGTCTGCCTATTCACCGCCATAAAGTCAGAAGTCAATCATCCCACAGGCTTCAGCTTCAATTCAGGTAGAGCAGTGAGGTTTGAAAGTGCCTCAAGCAGAGCCCACAGTTCTCTGATCCTTTACAATATCAAACTCTGTAATTGTGTGGCATAGCAGCCATGCTAGGAACGAGGTCAATTACTTAGGTACTCGCTAGACTTTTTCCTTTTCTCCACCCCTGGGGTCCAGGCTCTTTTCCCAGCACTTACTCAGGGCTGTCATTAGCCCTTTCTCCTCAGTTTCATTGTTCCTGCATTTATGTCATTCTGAGTCTTCTCCCCATGGGTTCCTGTGGGGAAAATAAAAGATCTGAAAGGGGAAAAAGGGGGGGAAAATGAAATAAAGTGAAAATTCAAGAGGTTCTTGTTTTCAGTCCCTATTTTAAAAGATATATGGCTTTGTCACTTTCAAAAACCAAGCATTACATTATAAGGTATGTGGCCAAAACACAATCAATAAACAAACACACGCAGACAGATACTACTAAATACACACACACATGCCACAATAGGGAGGATCTTTGATTCTTAGGATCCCCCTTTTCTTTTCCATCCATTAATTCCTAACTACACTGTTCTTCTCTAACCATATAACTATTTCTCAGTTATAACCATATAACTATTCTCATATAACTATTTCACATTTGTCAGATGTGAAATATTCTCAAGACCACTACTAGCCTTGGATACCTGAGACCTGTCTCCCATACCAACACCATCATTTAATTAAGAAACAATGAGACTAAAGCTTTGCTTACAAGTCTGTAAAACAAAGGTCACTCCACCTGCCTACCTTCCCACTTCACCTTACAAATAGGAGGTTCAAAGGAGAGAGTATGTGCTTAAGTACACCAAAGAACCAGAGGTACCAAAATGGTTAAGATATGCCTTGAACCCAAGAAAATCCCCTGAAGCAGCATGTCAATACTAAGTAACACAACCATTCCCTTGGCTATCACTTTTTTTTTCTTTTTTTGAGACAGAGTCCTGCTTTGTCAACCACGCTGGAGTACAGTGGCACGATCTTGGCTCACTGCAACCTCTGCCTCCCAGGTTCAAATGATTCTCCTGCCTCAGCCTCCCATGTAGTTGGAATTACAAGTGAGAACCACCACACCTAGCTAATTTTTGTATTTTTAATAGAGATGGGGTTTCACCATGTTGGCCAGGCCGGTCTTGAACTCCTGACCTCATGATCTGCCCACCTCGGCTTCCCAAAGTGCTAGGATTATGGGCATGAGCTGCAGTGCCCAGCCGGCTATTGCTATTTTAAGCAAAGAATTGCAGGTGTACTTTCTTTGGTTTTAGGGAGAATTTTAACCAAATGATGTTTCCAGTTTAAACCTGGACACACCAGGTGAGGGCAGTGAGGGATGATGAAGAAGATGGCATGCTTTCTTGGGCATCGGCATCCTTATTTGATTAGCAGAAACTGTAATTATAATGTATTAGTAACTCTTTTTCTAGTTTTCCCCTACTCAGTCTTCAAAATAAATGCAGTGTATTAACTCTTAGATTGTACTCTGGAAAAATTAACAGTGAATCCCAATCCAGTATCAAAATGATTCATCAAAGACAGAAGTGGCCAAGGAACACCAGAAAGACAGCATACGTTCTTGCATCGAAGAGCCTGAAACTCTTGTTGAGATGATCATTTCTAGCTCACGTACAATGCTAGAACTTGTCTTCTCCTGAATATACTGTGTCTTATACTATCTCATGTTACATGAAGAAACCACAAATTCTGAAAAAGCCACGTGCAATGACCACTGTTTGACGTTTCCTGTCAAATGACTCTAACTTTCCATATCTGTAAACTGATTTTATATATATATATTTTGTTTGTTTGTTTGTTTGTTTGTTTGTTTTTGAGATGGAGTCTCACTGTGTCACCCAGGCTGGAGTGTAGTGATGTGATCTCAGTTCACTGCAACCTCCACCTCCTGGATTCAAGCAAATCTCCTGCCTCAGCCTCCCGAGTAGCTGGGATTTAGAGGCGTGTGCCACCATGCCCAATTAATTTTTGTATTTTTTGCAGAAACGGGGTTTTGCCATGTTGGCCAGCCATACTATCCACCAAAGAGAAAAAAAGACCGTTGACTATCCTTCAGTTTTCCAGTGAAGATGTTACTATAAAGTTGTATATAAACCAAATCATATTTATCACTGCTTTGGGTCATTTCAGGAGTGCGTGATCACAGTGGGGGAAAAAAATCCCAAACTGTGGCCTCAAGGTGTCATAAGATCACAAGGCATCTGCTATGGTCTGAAAGTTTGTTTTCTGGCTAAATTCATGCATTAAAACCAAACCCCCAAGAACTGTGAAAGATAAAGGACCATTGCTTACAGGCAACCTAGTCTATGGTGGGATTTTGTTATAGCAGCCCCGACGGACTAAGACATCACAAAAGCTTTTTAAAACATCTAGGCTAGGCCCAGTGGCTCACGCCTATAATCCCAGCACTTTGGGAGGCCAAGGAGGGCAGATCACGAGGTCAGGAGATCGAGACCATCCTGGCTAACATGGTGAAACCCTGTCTCTACAAAAAAAAAAAAAAATACAAAAAGATTAGCCAGGCACGGTGGCGGGCGCCTGTAGTCCCAGCTACTCGGCAGGCTGAGGCAGGAGAATGACGTGAACCCGGGAGGCAGAGCTTGCAGTGAGCCGAGATTGCGCCACTACACTACAAGAAGTCTGGGCAACAGAGCGAGACTCCCTCTCAAAAAAAAAAAAAAAAAAAAAAAGGAAAGGAAATCTAACATCTAGTGTATTTAATTTAATGTTTATTTACCTAATAGTTATTTATCTATTTATTTATTTTTGAGACGGAGATTCACTCTTGTCACTCAGGCTGGAGTGCAATGGTGCGATTTTGGCTCACCGCAAGCACTGCCTCCCAGGTTCAAGCGATTCTCCTGCCTCAGCCTCCCAAGTAACTGGGATTACAGGTGCCCACCACCACGCCATGCTAATGTTTGTGTTTTTAGCAGAGACGGGGTTTCACCATGTTGGCCAGCTGGTCTGGAACTCGTGACCTCAGGTGATCCACCCGCCTCGACCTCTCAAAAAGTGCTGAGATTACAGGCGTGAGCCACCGCACCCGGCTTAACCTAACATTTAATAGGGAAAATGTTAACACTAGTATTCAGCTAATAACTATACCAAAAATATAACAGAATAACAGAAATTGAGGTGATTGCCAGGGAGATACAGGAAGAGGGTCTGACAAGTAAGGTGGCATCTCTTGTCTGCAGCATGTGTGGCGGTGGTAGAAGGAAAGGCTTCTGTGCGTTTTGAAATGAACTACTGCAAGAGAACAAGGCTGACTGGGAGATGTCGATAAAATGTCAGTGTAGGCAATTCCAAGTGCCCATACACCACCCTGCACCTAAAACATCAAAAAACAAGCACCAACTGTCAGAACTAACTTTGTCAGAACTCTGGAAAACAGTCAAATGCTTATAGCAACCAACTGAACACTAAATCAAGAACTTCAAAGGATAGGAAAACTTTATGGCATTCTTATTTGCCTTTGCCCTACCTCCTCCCAGTGTGATAGAAGCCCATATTCCAAGAAGGGAGCCCTGGTCCCTGGTTCCAAAAGGAACAAGTAGAACATATTCATAATTTTTGGTAACTCCATTCCAACCTGTCAGGGATACTTGAAGAACTGACACAAGGTTCCTGCTTAGCTCAAAACTCATCCAGGCAGGAAAATGGTTGGCATTGCATCCAGACACCTGGGGTCAAAGAGTACAAATGAGACAAGCAATAGACCACCTGAGGCCTGGGAAGAAAAGATATGAAGAAAGTTACCTTAGGAAATTAGGGCAATCAAAAGCATCCATATATATGGGTGAAATTAGAAAGCCACACACATGCTCAGAATAAAACCCAAGACGACTTTAAGCTTTTTCACCTTAGGCTAATTACTAGTCTAGGCACAAGTCTAACTAACTGTCGAAGGAGGGCCCCAGCAAAGAGCCACTCTGTAAAAACTGGAAAAAATATTTTTCTTTGTTTATTTGTTTTAGCCCCTGGCATTCAAGGAAATCTCTGTCAAAACACTACCAGACTAGGCACAGTGGCTCCTGCCAAGCCTGGGTGACAGAGTAAGACTCTATGTCTTAAAAAAAAAAAAAAAAGAAAGAAAGAAAGAAGGAAAGAAAAAGCAGTACCAGAACATTAGCTCTAAGAAACAGAGACTTCAGTGACCACACAAGACAAGGAATATAATCCCTACAAAAATAGCTGGGAAAAGTCACTTGACAAAAAAAGAGATACATAAAACCAAAAACAACAAAAAAAGCAAATCTCGGTGAAAGAGGAGACTCTGATTACCAAAGACACAACATTGTAATTTTCAAACACCCCATTTTCAACAGCGACAAAATCCTAAGGCACATTAAGGAAAAAGTATAGTCCATTCAAAGGAACAAAATTAACTGACAGAACATGTCGCTGAGACGGCCAGACATTGTACTTACTATACAAAGACTTTACAAAGCAACTTTCTTAAATATGCTTAATATCAGTATGTTGTTGAAGTTGAGAAGGAGGATACTATATTTGATTAAAGGATAAATTCAATCAGAGATATAATAATTATAAACATAAATACACCAAACACAAAGTCCCAAAATGAAGGAAGCAAGCACTGACACAACTGAAGTGAGAAGTAGAAAGCTCTAGAATAATAGACTTCAATACATCCTATTCAATAGGAACTTGGCCTGTTCAATAACAGATAGAAGAACTTGATAGAAGATAAATAAGGAAACAGAGAATTGTACAACACATAAACTAGATCTAACAGACATATACAGAACATTTTTTCAAACAAAGTAGAACACACATTCTTCTAAAGTGTACATGGAATACTCTCCAGAATAAACCATGTTTGTCCACAGAGCAAGTCTCAATTAATTTAAAAAGACTGAAATCATATAAAGTATTGATAGAGAAAAGTTACGTAGTTAGGCTAGGTCCTTGGCAAAACTCCTTTAAACAGAGAAACAGCCTGAAAAATCAGGCTGCAGGCACAGATAAGAACTTGCACAAACCTCCAGCCCACTCGGATACAGGAACAAGGCCCAACCCAGAAATGCCTTTGTTCTCTGTAAAACCAGTGGGCTTCCAGGAAATAGTCTCTTCTTCTTTTGTGGGCATGTACACAGTGGGCTCTGGTGGGTTCCAGTGGGCACTTTGCTTTCCTTTTTTGGGCATGCTTTGGAGTGTTAGCCGAGCCTCTATGAATCATTGCTTCAGCCTCTGATTGGTCCCAGGACAAGGTCCCAGGTCAAGGTCCTGGGCCAAGCTTTCACTTCAGTTCCTGAGTGGTCCCAGGCCAAGCTGAGTAGGCTTTCTCCAAGACCAGTCAGTGCATTCCTTCCCTGTCCAGTCCATAAAAACCCCAAATCCAGCCTCACAGTTGGCAGCCCTCTTCCAGGCACCCTCTCTGAGGCAGAGAGCTTTCTTCTTTTGTTTATTAAACTTTTAAACTTTCACTCCAAGCTCACCCTTTGTGTCCATGCTCCTTAATTTTCTTAGTCATGAGACAAAGAACTTCAGGTGCTATCTCACAATGAGAGACTGCTACATTGTGGTGTATTGGTGAGACTGTAACAGTATATTTTGCCACTATGATGCACTGACGCTAGAAATCAAGAAACAAAATGTAGCATATATCTACAGGATGGAATACTATTTGGTCTTTTTAAAAAAGGGAACGAAACTCTGATATATGTTCGACCATGGATACCTTGAAAACATTATGCTAAGTTAAATAAGCCAGATACATAAGGACAAATATCATACAATTCCACTTATATGAGGCACTTAAAACAGGCAAAGTCAGAGAGAAATTAGCACACAGTTTATTAGAGGCTGGAAAAAGGGGAAAATGGGAAGTTAGTATTTAATGGGTATAGAGTTTCTGCTTGGGATGATGAAAAAGTTCTGGAAATGGACAGTGGTGATAATTGCACAACACTGTGAATCTACCTCATGCCAGTGAACTGTACACTTTAAAATGATTAAACTGTTTCTTCACCTTTTGGCTAAGATCAAGTGTAAAAATGGTTAAAATGACAAATTTTATGCTATATATATTTTATCACAATAAAAATTTAAATGATTAAAATGGTATATTTGTGTTAGTATATTTTACAATAAATTTTTAATATAAAAATGTAGGGAAAAGAGAGAGAGAGATGGGACAGTCATTGTGATCTCACAGACATACATAACAACATTTCTCTTGGAGAGACTTGAAAATGGAAGTTTGCAACTTCTAGCTGGATCTGACATTAGATCTAAGTTGAACAAGTTCCTGGTTATTAGATAATGTCTTGTGCTGAAAAAAAGAATAAATGAGAGTGCTAAATTGCTGCCCTTTGCAGCTCCTCAAAAAGTTAAACACAGAATTATCATAAGACCCAGCAGCTCCACTCCTAGGTATATATCCAACAAAAATTAAGACTCACATCCACACAAAGCCTTGTACAGGAAGTCTAGCAGTCTTATTATGTTCATAAAAGTCAAACAGTGGGAACAACCCAATATTCCTCAAATGCTAAAAGGATGAACAAAATGTGATATATCCATCCAATGGAATATTAGTCAGCCATAAAAAAAGAATGAAGTATTGATTCAGGCTACACCATGGATGAACCTTATAACATTATGTGAAAGTAAAAGAAGTTAGTCACAAAGGACCACATTCTATGACTCATTAATGAAATGTCCAGACTAGGCAACTCTACAGAGACAGACTATAGGATAGCAGTTCGCAGGGGCTGGGAAAGGGAAGATGAGAAGTGACTACAATGGATGCAGGGTTTCTTTTTTGTAGGATTAAAAATGTCCTAAAATTAGCACATTTGTGGTCATGGTTGCACAACTCTGTGAAGGTACAAAAAACACAGAATGGCACAATCTAAGTGGGTAAATTTTGTAGTACATGAAATATATCTTAATAAAAATGTTACACATCATGTTACACAATGCCCTTCAACATTCTGAAATACATCTCAAGTGCTGAAGCAAAATCTCAGGGGGTGCAACAATAGCATCTGTGCATGGGAGTGCATTCTCAAAATTCTCCTTTGCTTTTTAAGTCTTTGTAACGTTGGAGAAGATTCTGAGATTTGAATAGTTTACAGAGGAACACTAGGTAATTAACCTTTGCTGTTGTAACTAAGAACGATACTCTATCACCCTTCACAAATGACTACTCCAACATAAGAATTTAGATTAGCAATCTTGAATTCTTGACTCTTTGTAGTTTAGAAATTAGGAAAAAGAACTGAGAAAATGTTTCACCATCTTTACATACTTTGTTCTTGAAATCCTAAAGTCTGTGTTTTCACAAATGTCAGCTGCCTGGTTCGGTAGGGCGAAAGAACAGCTAAGAAAGAAAGGATCTGCTAAAGTGTGGTCAACCACACAGCCGACCTATATATGAGGCACTCTGTAACATGAACTGCCATTACAAATGTTGCCGGTTTTATCATTAAGTGCACACCCATGCATGTGCGAATGCGCGCGTGCGCACACACACACACAAACTCACACACAGTTCAAAAGATGCCCAAGGGAAAATATATCGCCCTATTGACCACTAATTACCAGAGATTAAGAGTGGTAGCTCTCAAAATGCCATGACTCCATGCTATAGAGTTTGGATATTTTTCCCCTCCAAATCTCATGTTGAAATTTGATCTCCAGTACTGGGGCCCGATGGGAGGTGTTTGAGTCTTCGGGGCAGATCCCTCATGAACAGATTCATTCCCTTGGGGATGGGGAGTGAATTCTCACTCTTGGTTCCCATGGGAACTGGTTGCTAAAAGGAGCCTGGCCCTTCCTCTGGCTCTCTCCTGCTTTCCTTCTTGCTGTGTGATCTCTGCACACCCAAGTCCCCTCAGCCTTCTGCCATGAGTGGAAGCAGCCTGAGGCCCGCACTGGAAACAGATGCTGGTGCCATGCTGCTTCTTGTACAGCCTGCAAAATCATGAACCAAATGAACTTTTTTCCTTTAAAAGTTACCCAGTCTCAGGCCAGGTGCAGTGACTCGCGCCTGTAATCCCAGCACTTTGGAAGGCCGAGGCAGGCGGATCATTTGAGGTCAGGAGTTCAACACCAGCCTGGCCAACATGATGAAACCCCATTTCTACCAAAAATACAAAAATTAGCCAGCCGTGGTGGCAGGTGTCTGTAATTCCTGCTACTCAGGAGGCTGAGGCAAAAAAATCGCTTGAACCCAGGAGGCACAGGTTGCAGTGAGCCAACATCACGCCACTGCACTCCAGACTGAGTGACAGAGTAAGATCCCGCGTCAAAAAAATAAGAAAAAAAAAAAAAGTTACCCAGTCTCAGGCCAGTTACAATGGCTCACACCTATAATCCCAGCACTTTGGGAGCCGGAGGCCAGCAGATTGCTTGAGCCCAGGAGTTTGAGACTAGCCTGGGCAACATGGCAAATACCCATCTCTACAAAAAATACAAAAATTAGCAGGGCGTGATGGTGCACGCCTGGAGTCCCAGCTACTCGGGAGGCTGAGGGAGAAGGATCACCTGAGCCCGGGAGGTCGAGGCTGCGGCAAGCCGTGATCAAGTCACAGCACTTCAGCCTGGGTGACAGACCCTGTCTCAAAAATAAATAAATAAATAAACAAACAAACAAACAAAATTATCTAGTCTCTGGTATTCCTTTAAAGCAACACAAACAGACCAAGACACTCCACCAAGGTACATGTGTTATGTCAGTTTGGCCACCTTCAGGGTGTTTCGGTCCAAATTTTAGATCTGCTCGAGTAGCCTTTCTCAACGATGGCTTCCCATGGAAGTCACTGGATTATCATAATGGCACTGGCCTCCCTGTTCTGAGCAGTTTCCATACACCCAGGCCTGCTCCCAAACACAACGGATTTGGCTTACCGTTGCCGGGAATTGGTCATGTAGAAAGCAGGGTTTTTCTTTACTTTTTTTCAACCACAGAAAAAGCTTCCACATAAATCAATTTTAAATCGCAAAGCTTTTCCTTTACTCCATGGCTTTCTCCAGATATGTCTGCCTACTCAGCAGGAGCAAAAGCCAGAAAGCACGCAGGCCCCAAAGAAAGACACCAAGAATAAAACACTACAGAAGATTCACGGGGAAAACATTTACTTTTACAAAGCAAAACCACAAGAAGGATTCTTGCAGGCAGGCTGGCAGCAGCGACACTGTTTCAAGTTATACATTCAATCCATTGTATAAAATCTATTACCTGGTATTTAAGTCATCAACAGATCTATACTTTCCATTTACCTGATTTGGGGGCCAAAAAGGTATGACTTAAAAATATAACAGCTTCCAGAGAACAGAGTTTCGCTCCTACAAGATGGCACAGCATTGTCAGGACGTGATTCTGGAGTCAGACTGACTCAACTGGAATCTCTTATTACGCTGCAGGATGTTGGACAAGCTGCTGACTTCTGCGCGCTTAGGTTTCCACATCTGTAAAATGAGGTAGTGAGTGACACACATGCACAGCACTGAGGCTCCTGTACATGGGAAACTCCCACTGTGAGGGAGTAGTTGTTACTGTGATTCCAATTACACTGGGACAGCGAGCCTTCTTGGCCAGTTGTCCTGTTCAAGAAGGGTTTTCATCTACTCAAACCCCACCCACCAGTTCCCTGATGCCACTGCCACCTCAAGAGAACCAGTGTGTGACTGCCAGTATGTACCCACCCACAAGTCACTACTAGAATAAAGAAGTATGCTCACAGATCACTTGGACAGCTAGTTATTAGATGGGACACAGTGGGAAAAAAAGAGGGAAGAACATGACAACTTCCTGCTGATGGGGCTACACTTGGCTGCTCTGGGATGAGGGGAGGACTTTCACAATTTATTCTATGCATATCTGTATTTTTCTCCGCCTTGTTGACAACATCATGTATTTCCTTTGTACATTTGCCTTTAAAAATTAAAACAATCACTGATCAGGTCCATCTCGATTAATTTCTATTAATCCTATTAATCCATGCAACTTACTAAGGCGCTGACAAAACAAAATGACTACAGCTGCCGATTATCACCCCTCAGTGAATGAAAATGACAGGGAACCTCAATTGCATTAAGAACACACGTGGAGATTCCAAACCCTTCCTCTCAAGAAGTAAGTCACTCGCTCCTCTCTCTTCCAGATGGCAAGCGGCACTCCAACAAAACCCACATATTTAAAACAAGTGCAGAAGAGTTTATTGTACATCCCTTTCCAAAACAGCTGCTCAAGAGAATGTACTTGTGCAGCAAGAAGGAAATCAGCGCGTGTGTCCAGCTAATGAAATCTTTACGAGCTGAGCACTGCATCGACTCCAATGCTGGGAGTTGCCAGCTGCTGCCTAAATACTATTTTCCAGCATCTTCTGAAGGCTAGTAGTTACTCAAATAGATTTTTAAAAGAAAATGAATGCAAAATATTGTAATTATTAGATTATTATAATTAGACATTCTGTTCTTTCCTGTGAGGTAAGGAACAAAGAGGCTGCGACTATTACAAAGAGCACCAAGTGTCTTCCTCTAGTTACTTACTAACCAACCAGAGGTCACGCCCAGCTGCGGGACAGACGCCCTGCCCTTTGCACTTTCCAAGTCTAGCTCTCACCAGGAGTCTCTGGAGCACATACGAGAGGACTTCTCAGTATCTCATCCACCGCACCAGAGAAGCATAAGAGAACGGACGATCAACGGACCCCTTCACCTTCTCAAATGCCCCAAGTCTGCCTTCTGGACAAGACAGTATTTAACCAAAGTTACACAGTAATTTAGAATTACTAGGTTCCCTTTTCCTCTTTCTAGGACTGGTAAGTGAAAATTTACTTTACAAAATTACAGGGGAGAGGAAACTGAAAGAATTTGTTGCTCTTCCCCTAAGCAGACTGAGGTGATCTGTGAAAATGGTTCACTACTCACTTGACCCCGAAAACCCTACACGATCATGAAATCAAGAGGTTTAAATCTTCATGTTCACTTTACAAACACTTGTGAAATTGCCCAGGCCATCAAGGTTGCATATATGAAAAGCCACCAGGTAACTGAAAGATGTCACTTTACAGAAATGGTGTGTATCATTCTGAGGTTACAACGGTAGAGTCGGTAGGTGTGCCCAGGCCAAACAGTGGGGCTGGACGCAGGTGAATTTTTGCTGCACATGCTTAAAAATGGCGAAAGTAATGCTGAACTTAAAGGTTTCCATGTAGATTCTCTGGCCATTGAGCATTTCGAGGTAAACAAAGCACCTAAGATGCACCATTGGACTTACAGAGCTCATGGCTGGACTAACCCATACACGGGCTCTCCCAGTCACATCGAGACGATCCTTACTGAAAAGGAACAAATTGTTCCCATATCAGAAGAAGAGGCTGCACTGAAGAAAAAGATATTCCAGAAGAAACTGAAGAAATAAAAACTTATGGCACAGGAATAAATTCAGCATGAAATAAATGCAATCAAAAGTTAAGAAAAATAAAAAATCTGTTTGCAAAATCTACTGCTCAGGGCCCTCTGCTGTAAATCCTCAAAAAAATTAATTTCTGATTATCTACTTGAAGATAATCACTTCACTTTGAAGGCAGTATATGATTTTTAAACCCTGTACACTATGCTTCCTTCTCCTACTGGCCCAAAGATACCTCAACGTGGTCACCATACCTTCCAAAATACACCGTACATCAGTCCATCAACAGTCCCCAAGGTGCTAATCAGCATTCGTCATGATCCATCTTTTTTTATTGTACAAACAGCATAATCCAGAACAAGAATACAGGTTAGCAACTTTAGTCTTCTCAAAAGAAAAACAGAAACACTGATTTACATTTAAAGCCTAACAAATCAATATTAATTTCTGACCCAAGAATGTGATCAGCTGCAATATACACTACTCTGTGGATGTAAAGCAAATGACCTTGTGAAACTCATTTTACAAGGTTCCCAACTTGTATGATGAATGTTTCCAAACTGACATAATCATCAATGACCTGTGCTTAGCAACTTTAAAACACCTTTACAAATTATTCCATTTTGAAACCTGAAAAATCTCACAACTGAAATAAACCTGGGAAATTATTTCCTACAATTGGCCAACATATGCATAAATCCTTTGTTTTGATCTTTATAACCGTTTCTAAGATTAATAAAATAGTTACTCTTATTTCTAATTTACAGAATCAGAAACTGAGGTTTAGCTGAGTAAAGTGACGTACTTCATATAATAAATGGTAAATGAAGATCTGTTATGTGTACTATGTCAAAAACAAAGTCCCCTAAAAGAAAACTTAAGCATGACACCAATACTTGGGAAAATATGGTTTCAAATATATTGGTTAACTGGTGTTTTTATTAAAATATTCCTTTATGCAATCTATGTATATATTTTTAAAGTAATTATGTCAAGCGAGATTTTACATCAAATTCTTTTCCTAAACATTAAGATACTGCTCCACAGCATTCCTCATCCCCCAAAATTTTAAGACTACTCAATCACAGGGTGGGAGGCAGAAGAAGTCAGCCCCAGCTACTCTGGGTGTCATGGTGTCACAGCCTTGAGGACTCTCAGAACCCCCCAGCAGTTAGGGCATCTCCCTAGATCTGCAGTATCTTCCTCAAAGAAACCCCCACCCCGCAAAGCCACCAAATCCGAGCAGGGGACCTCCTCTGGCTGTCTTCCTGCTACTTTTAGGTAGTTGGATGCTGGGCAAAGTCTGGTACCCTGGCAGCAAGATGCCCCTGCTAGCAGAGCAACAGAATCCAGCTGTGCCACTGACAGCCACTTTCAGTGTGGCCAATGCTAAGAGAAGGTGGGGAGGAGAGGGCAGTTCCCACGGGGCAAACATGCGTGCACGGGTGACAGGATGCCAATGTCATCTCATCCAAACCTTGTGCTAGGAAGGTGGAGTGTCCACTCTAAAGAGAGAGAAGCTAAGGATCTGGGAACTTGTTCCAAAGCCTGGGACCAGGGCACTATGGAAATGGAGAAAAAGCACCATGTGCCAGGTTGAAGGGATGGAAAACGAGGGCACACCACACTTCTATGGGCTTCGGCATGCAGGTAGGTGCAACAGGCTGTGTAACCTCCCACAGCTACAAAGACTCTTTCCTGCTCTCCTACAGAGAAGCTGTAGATTTGCCAATGTTATGACCTGCATTACGGTATATTTTCATAAACACAAAATGTCCTTATCTTAAGGGTTACCTATACCCAAACTTCAAGGAAACAAACTGCCTTCATTTTTCATTAGTCATACTGACACTGGGTCAAGTACAAAAGAGTTTCAAAACCCATTATGCTAAGAAAAGACCATGAGTGTTACGGGTTCAATTCTCCCTCCCAAAAAGATAGATGAAGTCCTAACCCCCTCCCCCAAAAATTCAAAACATGACCAAATTTGGAAATAGGGTCACTGCAGATGTAATAACTTAAGGTGAGGTCATAATGGAGTAGGCAAGGCCCTTAATCCAACATGATTGGTTTCCTTCTAAGGAGAGGAAAATGTGGACATACACGCAGAGGGAAAACACCAGTGACAGCAGAGGTGGATGCTGAGGTCAGACGGCTGCAAGTCAGGAATGGCAAGGGTTGACTGCCACCCCAGAAGCTAGGAAGGGGCATGGAAGAGTCCCGCTCAGAGTCCCAGGGGAGCACTGCCCTGCTCACACCCTGACTGCAGACTTCTAGCCCAGGCTCTGAGAGAATACATTTCTGTTGTTTAAAGCCACCCAGTTCCTGCTATGAAATCCTTTGTGATAGTAGTCCCGGGAGAAAACTCACACAGAGAGCTAATGTCCTGCTCCACCTGAGGCCCTTTCTGAGACGGAAAGCCTGAAGTCTGAGGTCCTTCTCCACTGCAACCCAATAAAAGGGATCCCATCGCGCCTGGGTTACTAACAGAGGCGGGAGATTGCCGCAGCACAGAAAGCAGAGTGCAGGGCCTAGTGACCGGGTGGGAGCCAGGCCTTCCAAACTCCAGGCAGGAGAGGCAAGAACCCACCCCATGGAGAAACAGCTTATCTTAATGAACACTATTAAGGGTAAAATTACTGAAAACTGGCTACAAATACGCATTCCGGTCAAACTCGTCATTTTGCACAAATCGGTCTACTCTAGACAATCAGCTCCGGATGGACCTGCAGCAACCTCAAGGATCAATAATAGTAAGAAACTTCAAAAACTACAAATGGGTCAAAAAACATAAAGTATTAAAAATGAATTATCTCATTAGTCTTATGTGACTTTGGTCATCAAGCAGCTATGAAAGAGCACCACCTGAATTCCAACCAGAAAGAACTTTTCGTACATGCACATCAAGGTTCAAAATAAAGGACATATACGTGTATATATATACACGTATATATACACAGAAAGTTTCTAATTTTACATATGGTAGATAATGTTGACTTTATATATAACTCACAAAAGCAATGGCAAAGCACTTAGGTGCTAAAATATCAAGTGAACTCTTCTTGCCTTTTTTCTTTTTTTTAGAGACAGGGTCTCACTCAGGCACCCAGGCTGGAGGGTAGAGTGCAGTGGCACAATCACAGCTCACTGCAGCCTCGATCTCCCAAGCTCAAATAATCTTCCTGCCTCAGCCTCCCGAGTAGCTGGGACTACAGGCATACACCACCACACCCGGCTAATTTTCTCATATATATATACACACACACACACACACACACACACACACACATATATATATATATATATATTTTTTTTTTTTTTTTGAGAGATAGGGTTTCCCATATTACCAGGCTGGTCTCAAACTCTCAGCCTTAAGCAATCCTCTCGCAACAGCCTCCCAAAGTGCTGGTATTACAAGTGTGAGCCATCGCACCCAGCCCTCTTCTTTCAATTCATTTTCTGATTGGTTTTGGTTCTGTCTGAGCACTAAAGGAGTACAGTCACCCAAAAAGAACAAGCATCTAGCTAGAAGACCCATTGCAAGGTGGACAGCTGTCACACACATAGCTTCCTTTAGGTAACTGTTAACTGACAATTTTCTAGAGGGTAATACTAGACTTTAGCTACTACACATAAAAGACAGATTAAAATAAACCTCTACATACTTTCAGTCCACCTAACATTTCAAAGGCAAGAGATTAAAACCACCATCTGAGCCACCAGTCCCTGGGGAATGGCACAAGCAAACCCTCCAGGTTGGCTGAGGCTGTTCTCAAGGTACTGTCAGAATTAAATACTTCCCTGATATGTGTGTGTGTGCACATGTATATTTGCTTATAGTTACATAATATGGTCTTGTTTCTCCTCCCTCAAAACACTAGTTTTTCAGTCCCACCCTTCATCGGAAGCCCAACTCAAGTTTCATCAGGGGACTCCTCCACCTTCCAATGTCCTCACCAACCATCATTCAGTTGCTCTTGGCCCAACTGTCTGGGGTCAACACTGTAGGACTTTCATGCTGTGTCTGTTCATTCAGAAAGATAATGCTCTCCACTATATACAAATTACTTTGCAGGAAACAAAGATGAATCAATACAGAGCCTACCTTAAATGAGTTTACCAAGGGAGAAAACAGATTATAAACAGGATTTTTTTTAAAGTAGCCAGGCAGGCTGGCTCATGCCAGTAATCTCAGTAATTTGGGAGGCCGAGGTAGGGGAATTGCTCAAGCCCAGGAGTTCAAGTCCAGCCTGGGCAACACGGCAAGACCCCATCTCTATAAAAAAATAAAAATAGCTGGGCATGGTGACACACACCTGTAGTCCCAGCTATTTGGGAGGCTGAGGTGGGAGAACTGTTTGAGCCTGGGAGGTTGAGGTTGCAGTGAGCTATGAGAAGCACCACTGCACTCCAGCATGGGTGACAGAGCAAGACCCTGTCTCAAAAAAAAATAAAAATTAAAATAATAAAAGTATTAATTAACAAAAGTGCTTTGTCTGGGAAAGTTCAAAGTCAAACGTGATTATCTGGATGGAATGACCAGAACTAGCCTTCACAGAAGAGGTAACAAGAGAGCATAAAGAATGGCTGGAACCTGAACTAAGAACAGGGGAAAAGACTATCCAGCTCAGGTTTCTTAACCATGGCACAAGGAATGTTTGGACTAAAAAATCCCTTGTGGTGAGGGCCTCCCCTTGTATAGTAAGTTTTGTACCACCTTTGGCCTCTACCAACTAGATGCCAGTAGCACCCCTCCAGCTGTGACAACCAGTCTCTAGACATGCCATATACCCTGCAAGGGTGGGGGAAGCAAAATCATCCCTGTTTGAGAACAAGTAAAGGAAACAGCACATGCAAAAGCATGGAGACAAACAGGGCAGGAGTACAGGGCAGGAGAATGATTTGGTTGAAACAGAAAGGTGTCATGACTGGGACCGGCACCGTGGCTCATACCTGCAATCCCAGCGCTTTGCAAGGCCAAGGTGGGAGGACTGCTTGGGCCCAGGAGTTCAAGCCCAGCCTGGGCAACACAGCGAGACCCCATCTCCACAGGGGGGAAAAAAAATACAAAACTACAAAAATTAGCCAGCTGTGGTGGCCTGCACCTGTAGCCCCAGCTTCTTGGGAGGCTGAGGCAGGAGGAGCACGTCAGCCCAGGAGTTCAAGGCTGCAGCGCGTTATGATCGTGTTACTGCACTACAGCCTGAGCGACTGAACAAGACCTTGTGTCTAAAACACAAAAATAACAAAATGCTGTAACAATTCGCTATGAAAGTCAGGGCTAAAACACAATACAGTAATGACATACAGGGTTAGAAGTCTTCTGGAACCACGACACTTCATACGTTTCGTTTCAAAGTTTCGGATGTATTCTATGAATGAAGAGGAACCAAAAAAGGTCTCTGACCTGAGAGTAACAAGTGCACTAAGACTGGTTGATAATGTTGTTTGGAAAGGACGGGAAATGCTGATTAATGTCCGTCTTTGGTGAGGGGATTTTAAAGGGTTGTTGTTTAGAAGTATTTTCTTCATCAACTGAAGAGTGGTGAACGTTTTTCAGTCAAAAGCTTACATATGTATGATATTTCATAATGAAATTTTTTCTTAAAAACGTATATAAACATTTTTAGATTTCTTTGGTGCTAGACAATGTTTTGACTTTTAGACAGACTGTATTTCAGATGACATGCTTGCCTAATTTTATTCTTGAATATGGATAGCCTTTTTATACAAGCATATATCAACCTATAACTAGATTACAAAGTGACTATAGTTTGCTCCTGGTTCCACTCACAATGAGAACAATTATTTAATAGGCACATATTTGTAACTGCTTTAACATTGTTAGATCTTTATTTGGAGAATTTATTCATCCTTTGAACACATAAGGCTTGTTTTGTACATTTATATATGTGGAAAGAGGAATAGATAAGTTATACAAACGAGGAAAATTTAGCAAGGAAGAACCTCATCAATGCCAAGTCAAATCTTCAACACTGTGGGCCAGGTAGAAAAAGCTGTTAATACCTAACAGTCAGTAAATACTTACTATATGCATCAAGCACTATTCTGAGACTTGGCATGTGTTAATTCTTAACTCAAAACAACCCTATGACATAGTATCTTCTTCCACAAAGCTCTTCCTGATTGATTGATTGATTGATTGATTGATTTTTGAGACAGGGTCTGGTTCTGTTGCCCAGGCTGGAGTGTAGTGGCGAGATCTCAGCTCCCTGCAACCTCCGCCTTCCAGGCTCAAGTCACCCTCCCATCTCAGTCTCAGTCTCACCATGTTGCCCAGGCTGGTCTTGAACTCCCAGACTCAAGTGATCCGCCCGCTTCCCAAAGTGCTGGGAATACAGGCATAAGCCACCACGCCCAGTTTGTTCCTAATCTTTCTAACCAAAATAAACACTATTTACAGTATAGGGTTTTAGAGTAAACACCTTGCCCAAGTTAACTGGTCCGTGGCAGGGCTAGGGACTTGGGCTCCAAAAGGGAGAACCAGGCTGTTGACCTTGCTATAAGGTGGTGGTGAGCTCCCACGACCACAGGTGACATCGTAGGAAGGGGAGTTTGAAAGAGCACTCTTCTGACTTAAAATACCATACAGGTCCTATATTGGAATAATTTCAGGCTTAATGGCACTGGGGTTGTCTTGTTAAACCCTGTTATTACAGGCATCACTGTGGCGCATTAACACCAGGACTTTTTACCTGGTCATGGTCACACTGTGCTGTAGAAGTGCAAGTAGTCAGTTTTAAAGTATTTTTAGGTGACATCTGAGACCGGTCCTCAGCTGGTCAGTGTGGCCAGGACACTGATAGGAGGCATACCTTGAGCTCAGATGGGTCAGCTGTGTGCATATATTAGCCATGGTTTTGTTTTGTAAGTTGGGCAACAGTCCCGGGTGAGGAAGAGAAAAAGATTTTGTTTGTTCGTTCATTTGTTTGTGTGTTTCAAGTTGCAGTAGGGCTAGGAAGAAATAAAAATATCTAGAGTATTTATAAAAAACGTTTTAATTGTGGTAAAGTCTACACAACAAAATTTACCATCTTAACCGTTTTCAAGTGTACAGTTCGGTGGCATTAAATACATTCACACTGCATCATCAGTCATTTCTGTAACTTTTCATCTTGTAAAACTGGAAATTTGCACCATATTAACAGTAACTCCACATCTCCCCTCGCCCCAGCCCCGGCAGCCCCCTTTCTACTCTCTGTCTCTATGAACTTGACTCCTCTAGGGCCCTTTTGTAAGTGGAATCACATAGTGTTTGTCCTTTTGTGGCAGGCTTATTTCAGTTTGCAGAATGTCCTCCAGGTTCATCCATGTTGCGGCATGTGTTAGAATTGCCTTCCTTTTTGAGGCTGAAATATCCCTTTGTACGCATCTCGTATCCATTTTGTTTATTCACTCATGTGTTGATGAAGGCTTAGGTGGCTTCCGCTTTTGGTTACTGTGAATAGTGCTGCTATGAACGTGGCTGTACAAATATCTCCTTGAGAACCTCCTTTCAATTCTTTTGGATATATATACCCAGAATTACAATTGCTGGATCATGGGGTAATTCCATGTTTCATTTTTTGAGGAATCACCATATTGCTTTCCACAGCAGCTGCCCCATTCCACATTGCTATCATCAGTGCCCAAGGGTTCCAATTTCTCCACATACCTGTCAGCACTTGTTATCTTGTGTTTTTCTTTGTTTGTTTTTAGAGACAAGGTCTTGCTCTGCCACGCACACTGGAGTGAAGTGGCACATAACTGCAGCTTCAAAGTCCTGGGCTCAAGTGATTCTCTTCCTTAGCCTCTCGAGTAGATGGGACTACAGGCATGCACCATTACACCTGGCTAGTTTTTTGGGTTTTTTTTTTTTTAAGTTTTTGAAGACATAGGGTCCCACCATGCTGGGCCCGAGCTGGTCTTAAACTCCTGGCCTCAAGTGATCCCTCCACCTCAGTAATCCAAAGTGCTGGGATTACAAGTATGAATCAGCACACCTGGCTTATTTTCCGGATTTTAAAAAATTATTTAAGATTACATCTGTGCTAGTCAAAATAAACTACACTGTGAGGTTAACCAATTCATTTTTTATTTGGTCTTGAAAACAGGTCCTAAGACCTATGCTATTACTATTACTATAAGGCCCCTAAGTATGGTTTT